AAAGAGGCAACACTGAACCCTTAAAAGTTTGGTAAGAGCAACTGAAGACGTATGTGATGCTTGCCTACTTTTTATTTTGCCTTAAGTAGGTTACCCAGTTTACAGCTCTTCAACAACTCTTACCAAGGCTCCAGAAGCTCCACTAAGAGCCAAGGGAGCTGGGAGGAAGAGGAGAAAGCAGCACTTATGCTGCTAGGTCTCACATATTCTTCCCACTACCCTGCAGTGTAGTAAATTACCTGGTATGGCTTTTCCAGCCATAAGTCTTTGAAAACGCCATGGTGGAATTGGCCACGAGCAACCAAGTAGCTCCTGATTGTTAGTTATCCATCTGGGGTATTTCTGTTGGGAGCAGCACAAAGTAATTTTCTGGGAAGTTTGCTCTCTCTCAGGTGTTTAGAATTCTGATGTTATGATGGTTAGTTTGGCCACTCTGCCACGCTCAAAAGGAGCACTCCTAGAGGCAGAAAGAGTCTCCCTGACTGCTGGCTGACAAAGACATGCTGCTGAGAAAAACACGCTCCTGAGAGACATGTGCTGCTGAGAAAGAGACACCAAGAGACACGCACTGCTGAGAGAGACAGTGAGAGACACGCACTGCTGAGAGACTGAGAAAGACCATCGGCTGAGGGACAGCAGCAGGCTGAGAGAGACTGAGCGTGTTCCTGAACTTCAACTGTAGCCTGTTGCTTCCCTAATAAGCCCCATAATCTGTGAGTTGTGTGTGGCCACTGCAGTGAATTATCGAACCCAGCAGAAAGGTGGTGGGTGTCGCTGGAGGAACAGTTGGTATCAGGGCTGGAGGGAGGCAGCATTGGGCTACTGATGGTGATTCTGTCTTCCTCTTGTGGGGTTAGGGGAGGTCAGAAGATTCAGCCTCCCTGTCCCTTGGCAATCCCTTTCTAAACAATAATGTATCAGCCAAAGGGTGGGTGAGATAAGAAGAGAGAACTATGGTCTCTTCCTTTAAGACCAAGATTGAAAGTAAGTTGATGTCTTATTTACCCAGTGCTGCTAAACCAGAAATGCCACAAGTGCTTGGCTTTAACAAATAGAAATTTATCCTCTCCGTTTAGAAGCTAATAGTCCAATTCAGGGCACCAGCTTTAGGAGAAGGCTTTCTCTCTCTGGTGGCTCTGAGGGAAGATCCTTGTCTCCTTTAACTTTTGTGGGCCCAGCGTTCCTTGGAGATCTCCATGTGTCTTGGCATCAATCTTCACTTAGTTTTAGGAGGTTCTCAGTGCAGGGACTCTGGGTCCAAAGGGCATGGCATGCTCCATTCCTGGCTCCTCTTTCTTGGTGGTAGTCAGGTCTCTCTCTCTGCTAATTTCTCTCTCCTTCTATCTCTTGTAAGGTAAAATGTATGACTCAAGCAAAGGTGTAACTTGAGTAAGGGTGGGACTCGATACAATCCACCCTAATCCTGCCTCATCAACAGAGGTTAGGGTTTACAACACATTATCATAAAATGGAGGCTAATTACATCAGATCACAAAATGGAGGACAGCCACATAATACTGGGAATTAGTGCCCAGCCAAGTTGACACATATTTAAAAAAAAAAAAAAAAAAAAAAGGAGGGGGGGGGAGATGGACACAATTCAGTCCACTGACAACTGACATGACAAATATCTTACTTGTTTAGTTAAACATAATATACAAATAGTATAAAACACCTATGTTAAACACTTTAATACTTGTTTCATTAGTTGGGTTATATATATTTAAAGGGGGTCCCAAAGAATTTTATACAAATAAATAGAATAAACAACTCTGATGTCAATCTTTATTTCTTGGCTAGCTTGGCTTTAAAATGTTCTCATGAACATTTATCATAACAATGCAATAAAAGCTAAAGATATATAAAAAGGGAGCTCTGGTGGTGTAGTGCCTAAGGCATTTGACTGCTAACCAGAAGACTGGTTAACCCACTGGTGGTTCAAACCCACCAGCCACTCCTCGGAAGGAAGGTTGGGCAATCTACTTCCATTGTGCTTCGGAAACCCAAGGAGGGGTCGCTATGAGTCGGATCCGACTCAACAGCAGTGAATTTGAGCATATATATAAAATACCACTGAAATCTTTCACGCCAGCCAATATTTTCTAGAATTGCTTTTGATCCATTATATCAGGAGAGGGAGAAAACTTGTCCTTTAAAAAAAAAAAAAAAGGAGGAGTAAACCAACAATGGATATTGTTTTTAAAATATCCAGTACCCCTTACCATCTAAATCTAGGTAATTCCTGAATTCAGATGGCAGAAGTCCAGAGGGCAAGAGAGCCTTGTATCATCCACTAACTGATAAAAATTCCCATCCACGTTATACTCATTATTAGCAATGACTGACCTATGTTAGGAAAATGGGTACATGCTATCTCTCACATCTACAGCACTGTAACACACCCTTATCTGATTTTTCAGCCACAGAAAAAACAGCCTGTTATCTTAATCTTCCTTAAAAGCTGCTTTCCTATCACCTCTGTTCATAATTCTTTAGTGGCTCCCCATTGCCTACAGAATAAAACCCAAACTCCTTAGCCTAGTATTTTAGTCTTCTACAATCTAATTTAGTGGAGGAAACACTAGGTAATAAGGATTAAGTAAGTACCATGAATCAGTCCATAATTCGACCTGGAATTATTGGCCAAGTCCTACAATCTGACAGTTGAAAAGACACTATTAATCTTAAATGAGCATATCACCACCTATCATGCCTGATCCTAGGGTTGCTCTGAAGTCTAATTAAAAATGGCTCTTAAAACTCAATCATTCTACACATACAAGATCGTAGTTTGACTATCTCATGTTACTACCCAGGCAAAAATCAATACTTACCACACCAGAACCTCTCAGGACACAAAGAGAACCCATTAGGTTTGGGTGCACATACAAGCTGTGACTTTCTAGGTAAATTTGGTAAATATTTTAAAGGCCAGGTCAAATAGCCAATGAGACCACTCTAACCTCTTTCATTCTATATCATCTGATATATGGCCAACTACCCCACAAAGTTGGGCAACCTACTTCCACAGTGAAACTGCCTCAAAAACCCAAGGAGGGGTCGCTATGACTCAGATCTGACTCGACGGCAGTGAGTTAGAGTTTTCACCCTTTGAAGAGGCACAAAGAGACACGCGGAACGACCAATTCCTAAACACACTTAAATGATGATGGAAAGGATGATGTACACAAAGGGGGGCCGACCCCTGTTGCCAATGGCTGATTTGTTGTTATGTGCCGTCGAGTCAAACCCAACTCATAGCGACCCCTCCTTGGGTTTCCGAGGCAGTATCACTACGGAAGTAGGATTACCCAACCTTCCTTCCGAGGAGTGGCTGGTGGTTTTGAACCGCCAGCCGTCTGGTTAGCAAGCAAGTGTCTTAGCCACTATGCTACCAGAGCTCCCAATGGCTGATTAGTACCCCTTTTTAAAACCTACTATGGAAACTCCGAAAACAGTGGAAGAAATTATAAAGGAAAAAGCATGTTTGCATGTGCTGTGAGTGTCAGATCCTGACGGTAAGGCATATTCCATCAGAAGAAACATGGACTTTTTCCTAATGAGTGTGGCACGTATTTTTATTGTCCTCCTTTATTCCGCCTCTGCCTCCTCCGCCTCCTCCTCCTCCTCCTCCTAGTAACAGTATCTCTGATTCTTTGGGAAATTACCCAGCCCTCCACTCTCAGCCTGGTGTTTTGAACAGAGTTAATCACATCCATAGTTCGCAATCCTCATAGTTCAAAGGCAGGGTATGTGTGGGAGGGGAATCCCAACCCTGATTTAATCAGCACATTCTAGGCTCCAACTCCTGGCCTCAGTGTTTGATTGAGGGATGAACAGGTAACACACCTGTCAAATCAGACGTATCTCAGCACTTCCAAAAATGCTAAAACCACTGCCATCGAGTTGATTCTGACTCAGAGACCATACAGGACAGAGTAGAACTACCCCATAGGGTTTCCAGGACTACGTATCTTTACAGAAGCAGCCTGCCTCATCTTTTTCCCACAAACAGCTGGTGGGTTCTAACCACAGACCTTTTGGTTAGCAGTGGCGAATGCCTTAGGCACTGCACCATCAGAGTTCCTATCTCAGAACTCAGGCCTTACGTATTAGCTCACAACCACCACAGCCATTTGGATCCAATATTAGCTCACAACCACCACAGCCATTTGGATCCAATAAGAGGAACATCTGAAAGGGGAGGAGATAGGAAAGAGAGGAAAGGGATGCACCCACGACATTTATTGCTTAAGCCATTTTAATTGGGTTTAGCTTAGGTCATGGAACACACAACACAGAACTAACTCGCTGAAGACAGGGAGCCAAAGATTTTAGAAAACAAGATAACAATCTCATCTTGGGTTTGAGAAAAAAAATTCCTCTGGAAGCTGTGTCTATCATACAATATGGCAGGGGAGGGGGTCGCTGATGGAAGGCTAGAAGCAGAGAGAACAGTTTGAAGGCTACTAGAATAGCATTGTGAGAGCTAATGAGAGCCTAAAAAGAAAAGGCAGCAAGAACAAAAACAGGTGAAAAGACAGTCAGAAGGCAGTGGGAACAAAGGAAGACATGAAGGTGGCAAGGCATCTAGCTAGGAGTAGAGAGAGATGATTAAAGGGAGGCTAGAGTGTAGGCAAAGTTGAGGGCCACGTTCATGCATTCAGGTTTAGAACCCCAAGTTTTGTTGGAGAAAGAGGAAACCCCAGAAGACAGCATAGCCATCAGTATGCTTCAACTATTTCATGCCCCTCTGAAACCCGGACAGGTCAGTATTTATTCTCTGCAAAGATGAAAAAGTATCTTACTTATTCAATGACATTCCCCAAAAAGATACATAGTAAAGTCCTAATCCCTGAACCTGTGAATGTGACACTGCTTGGAACTAGGTTTTTCTTTTATCAATTAATGAGGTTAAACCGAGAGTAGGGCAGGTCCTAATCCCTGCCGAGTGGTATCTTACAAAAGAGGAGAACAAACACTGAAACTGAGTTACAGACAATGGAGGACACTATTGAGGATCTGCCTAAAAGTCAAGGAATTTAAGGGACACCCCAGGGCTACCAGAAGCTGAAAAAGACAAAGAAGCCTGATGAAGAGGGGGTAGCACAGCCCCCGACACACTGGATTAGGGTTTCCAGCCTCCAGATCTGTGAGACAGTAAATTCCTGTTCTTTAAAGCCATCCACTCTGTGGTATTCCGTTATGGCGGCCCTGGGAAACAAAGACAGCTGTCTTTCCAAAATTGCTGTAATTACTAAAGGGTATGTAATAATTCAACTTTTTTTTTTAGGTTAAGTGATAAAATTGCCTCTTTACATAAACAAATACAAATATCTAACCACTACCTCACATCATACACAAAAATTAATTTGAGATTAATCACAAATCTAAACATAAAAGCTAAAATGATAAAGTTTGTAGAAGAAAATATAAGAGAAGAGCCTCACAATTTTGGGGTGGGCAAAGATTCCTTAGAACATAGAAAGTACTAAGCATAAAAGAAAAAAACTGACAAAGTGAATTTTCATCGAAATGAAAAACTCCTGTTCACCAACAGTACCATTAAAACGAACAGCCACACTATGCACAGGTGGAAACCATTCACAAAACACTTACTAACAAAGGGCTGGTATCTAAAATAAAGAAATAATTCCTACAATTAATAGAAGACGAAATCCAACAAAAATGGGTACATGACTTAGCAGAAAGGAAGATATGTAACTGACCAGTAAGATAGTGTTCTGCAGCACTACTTACAGAGAAATACAAATTAAAACCACACGAGCTACCACTACGCACCTACCAGAATGCTTAACATTAAAAAAACAGCAAACACCAAATGGTGGTAAGGATGAGAACAGCTAGAAGAGTGCAAAATAATAGAACCACTTTGGAAAACTTATTGATACTTTCTTACAAAGTTAAAGGCACATCTATTCAATGACCAGCAATTCCATTTCTAGGTATCTACTCAAAAGAAACAGAAACATAGGTCCACCAAAAATCTTACACAAGAATGTTTAGAGCAGCTATATCTAGAAAGGGAGCTCTGGTGGCATAGTGCCTAATGCATTTGACTGCTAACCAGAAGGTTGGCGGTTCAAACTCACCAGCCACTCCTCAGAAGGAAGACTGAACAATCTACTTCCGTAGAGACACTGCCTTGAAAACCCAAGGAGGGGTCGCTATGAGTCAAATCAACTCAACTTCAGCGAATTTGATTTTTGCTTTTAATATCTAGAATAGCCCCAAACTGAAAAGAACCCAAAAGCCCATCATCCAGCAAATGGATCAATTGTGGTGTATTCACAGGATGAAATCCTGAGCAATAAATAGAAGTGAGTCACTGATCCATACCAACAACACTGATGAATCTAAAAGACATTATACTAAATGAAAGAAGCTGGCACAAAAGAGTATATTTACATAAATAAATAAAACTCAGCTATGGTGGTGGATGGAGTGGGAGTGTGTGTGTGCTGGGGACTGACTGGGAAGATGCATGAGGGAACTTTCTGGGGTTTTGGAAATGTTCTCTGAGGGTTACAGAGGCTTATGCATTTGTCAGCTCAGTGAAGCGTATACTTAATATCTCTGTATTTCACTGTATATAAATTATACCTCAATAAGGAAAAGAAAAAATAAAAACAAAAAGTGATCTCTAGTGGCCATTGGGATGCAACAATGGGTCTCTCCTCATCCAGAGCAAAGAATAATGAAGAAAACCAAAGAAAATGGAAACAATTAGTCCAAGGGACTCACTAGACCATGCAATCCTCAGCCTATATGACCGTGAGACAGAAGAACTAGATAGTGCCCAGGTACCACTGTCAACCACTTGGAAAGGGATTAGTGAAGGAGAGCAGGAGATCTGGGTGGAATGGGAGAACAGTGTAGAACAAAACTCAGATTTAAAAAAAAAAAAAAAAGACCAGGTTTACTAATCTGATAGAGCCTGGTGAGATGCCCCAGACCATGGCCCCTAGGTATCTTTCAGGTCTGGACTTGAACTCACTCTCATGGCTTCCAGCCAAACAACACACAGGCATATGGGCTAAAAATTTACACCAGGCAGATACACTCCTTAGAATGATCAATCATGGGAGAACAGAAGGGCAGTATTTACACAGGGAGCTAGCTCGGGGCAGGAACGCATAGGAAAGAAGGACACAGGGAAGAGGTAACTACAGGGAGGAAGCAGGAAGAGAGCTGTAACATCGTGGGGAATTGCAGTCCATGTCATGAAACAAAACGTGTATGAACTGCTGTATGAAAAATGAATTTGCTCTGTAAACTTTAACCCAAATCACAATTTTAAAAAAAAGTGATCTCTCATATAAATACCTAAAGTCAGTATTCTTTATTACTGGCCTGAGACTTTACCACTTCAAGGCAAAAACAAAACACACACAACTTTTCAAGGCAAAACACAGTAGGAGTATCACTCAGACCTCAAGTCGGCCATGGGACCTCAAGTAAACTGCATGAGTTCTCATAGCCTTTATCACTGGGAACCAGGAAAAATTAAGATTATAGGAAGCATCTACTTCAGTACCTGGCACACAGAGTTTAGTAAATGTAATGATAAGAAACAATAAGAAAACTCATTTAAAAGATCTACTGTACCCACCTGACATAAAAGGCATAATTAATTTAGGGAAGAGACTTTGTACTTTTCACTGACTCACAGCAACGCTACAGAAGAGAGTAGAATTACTCCATAGGGTTTCCAAGGAGGCTATAAATTGTTACGGAAACAGACTGCCACATCTTTCTCCCATGGAGCAACTGGGGGTGTTCAAACCGCTAACCTTTAGGCTAGCAGCCAAGTACCTCCACTGTGCCACCAGGGCTCCTAAGACCCGTACAACAAAGGGAACCAAACCCACAGCCATCCAGATGATTTTGACTCAAAGCAACCCCCACTGGGTTTCCAAGGCTGTAAATCTTTACCGAAGTAGATCGCCTCATTTCCCTCCTGCGGAGCAACTGGTGAATCTGAACTGCTGACCTTCTGGTTAGCAGCCTAATGCCTTACCCATTATACCACCAGAGCTCCTTACAGTGGACTCATTTGAAATATCTACCCACAACCCTACTCCTTTTTTGCTGAAAATTCTTTCCCTTTCTGATAAGTGACCCCCCACTCCAACCACAGAAGTTGCAATGGGGGATAAAAGTGGAAAGGGCGAGAAGTACATTGCTCTTCAGTGACCCTGCTCCTTGGTCACATAACACTGACATTAAAATGGTCGTTTAAATCAAAGTTTTGAATAACCAAATTATAATTAAGGGTACTAAGGAAATTATCCTCACGACATAAAAACAATCAAAAAGTCTGAATTGTTTTGTGAGATGCAAAAGACCTTTTATAAAGATTGTAAGTACTTAATCCACGTTTTCCATATACTGGATTTACCTGAAGTGGCGTTCCTATTCACATCTGCTAGAAAGCTTCCTAATTATCTTTCAAAAGGCCATATAATGCTAAATTCTAAGACACGCACACCATAACTGCTTTCCCCCAAAGAGTGTGCTCACACAGTAGACAAAACATGTACTCTCCTTTTATCACACCCATACTGTCTGGTGGGATTACAGCCAACAACAGGGCTCAAGTAGATTTATCCTTACTGTAGATCATGCAGTACATTTGCCTAATGCAGTGCCCTAGATTTCACAAATTACATTCACTGATGCACTTGCAAGTCTGCAGAATTGAATATTTTCAAGGAGGGCACAGACATTTGTATAAAACACTCTGTCTTGATCTTAAATAAAAGCACTAACTATATTTAAGGCCACCTATGTTCTTTTGCTATAATTTTTAATTTGTCTAAAGAATGTCTTGGCTTTTAGTAAAGTCAAAGCTGAGCCAATACACCGATATTTCATCTGCACCCGCACTGCACACTAAGAACACACACACACCAAAAAACTATTTGAAAGCTTTTAAGGCCCAAAGTCTCTATGGTGTGGCCATGATAGGCACTGACTAAATGCATCTTGAAGCTATAAATAGCACAGACAATACCATATGCCTGGGAAAACAAATGTACAATGAATGAGTTCACAATTGGACATAAGGTCTTTATTATATTCAAAAATTACCACAGTATTGAAAATGAATCAACAAAAACTCTGACTCATGATGAAGGAGCTAAGAATTTTTTCTCCCTGGAAAGTTCTATACGCTATTGTACTTCCATTTTTTAAGGCATTTCCCCTCTATGCAGTGGTATTCATTGCCAAGTGGCTCTGGTCTAACCCCACACAAAACCAAACCTGAAGTGGAATCCGACTCAGTGTTGCTGCAGTCTAGGCTAGGGGTGCCAACCATCATGGGGCAACTCCAACAAAGTGTGACCACCGCACCTAACGGTCACTGCTCCCCATAAAATAGTATCTTAAAAGTGTCAACTTAAAAAAAAAAAAAAAAATTCCTATTTCCCTGCAGTGTCGGTCAAGGAACAGGAATCACCTGCAAACAGGCAGGAACGAGGTTAAGTGGGTGTAAAATGGCTTCCCCAGGCAGGCTGAAGAGCAGCAATTCACAAGCAAATCCCTTCCTAGAGTAAAGCCTCTCAAACAAACAGGTGAGGGGGAACCACTCACACGTGGAACAGAACCTCCAGCCAATCCTGCTTTGCATCAGAATGTGCAAATGAGAGCATGCAAAGCAAATCAGAAGATGCAGGCAGTAAGAATGGGCATTCCAAGCCTGCTACCACACAGATAGGAATATATGCCCCCCAAACCATACTCGTTGCCATCCAGTCGACTGTGACTCACAGCGACCAGACGGACAGAGTAGAATCGCCCCATACTGTTTCCTAGGCTGTAAACCTTCACAGAAGCAGACCGCCACATCTTTCTCCCGCAGAAAGCCTGCTGGGTTCGAACCACACACATTCCAGTTAGCAGCCGAAGGCTTTAACCACTGCGCCACCAGGGCTGCTGAAAATATGCCCAGTCACTCAAAGATGAGTGTCTGGGCCAGTCAAAGCACAAAGCCAAACGGATTTTTAAAATGAAGGAAAGCACGTGCTCCGCAGGTAAGCTCAGCTATTTGGCCACTAAGTACACTTTTCCGGGAAAACGCTGAGTGACACCTCAGCCGAAGACCTTCTCCCTGCACAATCTGAAGCTTTCGGGAGCTTTCCTTTTCTCCAAGCCCCCACCCCACGCCGTCACCTCACCACCCACGAAATATCCCAAATTTTGAGTCCCTGCCCAGATCCCCGGGCGCCTCGGCCTCAACCCAAGGGAATTTGGGCTCCACCCGCCACGGGTTGGCCGAGCTGCGGGGAATTACTGAGAGGCTCTCCCAAAGAATTAAGTTTCTAATAATACAACTTGAGGCGGATTAGCGCCGGAGTCACCTAAGCCCGAGGCCGAAGCAGTCACCAACTTGAGGGCGTAAAAAGCGAAGTGGGGGCTCGGCGGGGCAGGGGTCTCTCAAGGGTTCGGGCCCTCGCGCTTCCCGCCCAGACGCCCCAGCATCGGCAGATGCGCCCTCTTCGCCTTGGCGCGCTCACCAGGTACCAGACGCCGAGCAGGATGGTGCCAGTGCGGACATGGCAGCACAGGCAGCAGCTGTTGGAGTAGAACCGCGTCCAGGGCGCAACCATCTTCATCGCTCGGGCCGTGGGAGCAGTTGCGCGAGTGCGCGCCCAAGTTTGCAGGAGCGTCTGCCGCGTTGCTTCGGCCTCCCGGCTCGCCCGGCCCCAAACCTCCGCTGCTGCTGGTTCCTCTGCTGCTTTCGCTCGGGGACTCGCCGGCCCACCGGTCCCGGCTCAGCGTTTTCCCCAGAGCTCCGACCCAGCGGCAGCCGCGGCGGGACACTGCGCTTGGAAGACACCAGCAGGAGTAGGCGGGGCGGCCTGCTGGTCACGTGACCCGGCCCGTGCTCGTGACGTCACGGCGGGCCAGAGCCAGCTGCTGGCCCTGTGAGCTGAGTGTAAATAAATAAATCATCTCTGCGCTCTAGTCAGAGCCCAGGGTCAGCCATCAGTGGAGTTCCAGGCCTTCCGTCTTTGATTAGGTTGTTTGTATAACCTTATTGTGAGTTAGGAGCTCTGGTAGCATAGTGGCTAAGACACTTGACTGCTAACTAGAAGGCTGTTAGTTCAAACCCACCAGCCACTCCTCGGAAGGAAGATGGAGTGATCTACTTCTGGAAACATTTACTGCCTTAGAAACCCAATGGACTAGAAGGCTGTTAGTTCAAACCCACCAGCCACTCCTCGGAAGGAAGATGGGGCAATCTACTTCCATAGTGATACTGCCTCGGAAACCCAAGGAGGGCTTGCTATGAGTCGGGTCCTACTCGACATCACATAACAGCAACAACATTGTGAGTCTGAGATTCTTGTACAATCTAGTTCGTTCGGGTTTTATTCCGCTTCTATCCTGCAGATAACCCATCAGTGCAGTGCCATCGCTGTTGTTATTTTGCAAACTAGAGGGGACAGGGAAGGGGGAAACTGCATGGTACGATTCCGGTCAACTGCAGTGCTTTGAACCACTGCTGAACCCGCTAAAAGCAATTTGTCTCAGCTTACCAGCTCAATTACTGTGGTATTAATCTTTTCCCAGAAAATGGATGTGTATCAAAGACATACTCGCTGTGCCTCTGGTAGCATCTTTAATCATGACTGCAGCTCTAAAACGATCAGCGAACCAATTACTACCACAAGTTATGTGTAAGGCAAAACACATTGCGTTAAAAGACACGGAAAAGATAACAAAACGACTCCAGTTTGGGGTCTGTGTGTTCCCATCCGGTGTTTAGTCTTTAAGCTCCCTTTTCCTAGGCTAGCAATCACTGTTAAAGCAAGCATCCAAGACAGGTTAGATTATCAGCATGTGTCAGTTTTATCGGACTTGGAGCAAAAGAAAACTAAATCATTTTATATTTACTAAGGACAGATTGTATAAGAAGAAAGAGGAATCTTAGATAAGGCTGTTTAAGTGCAGGACTGGTTAGTTTTACAAGGCTGTAAAGCTGTCACATTCTTATTGTGCCCCTTAAACCTAGATAATAAGGGACCAAACAGCCATCTTCAGAGATGTCAGGTGTGAGCCTTTAATCAAAATAATATATCATTGTGGGCATTAGTCAGTAACACTGAACAAGCTGTCCGTAGTGCTTGGGGCCTTGAAAGCAAGTGGCCATCCAAGGCAGAACAATTGGTCTTTATTTGCCTGGAGCAATAGAGGAAGAAGGAGACTCAGGAATAGGAGGAGAAATGTGTGTCTAATTGCATCGTGAACAACTGCCTTCTTTGCCATGAGACCAGAACTGGATAGTTCTTCTGAACGTTTTAATCAAAGATTCTATAAGGAATCCTCATCAAAAGGAGGAAAATTCAGAAGAGAATTTAAAATTTTCATGGAATCTGGACTTTCTAGAGCCATGGAGGGTGGATGAACCCCTATGCCTATTGCCCTGAGATAATATTGAAACCTTAAACCAAAAATATCCTTTGAAGTCTTCTTTAATCCAAACCATAATTTAGCTAAAGTGGTAAAGATGCCTTGAGCATTGTGCTGTTTTGAAGAACTATCTATAACAGATCAAATTAACAGCAAGGAAAGGTTAGATAGGAAGCTCAGGGGGCAGCGAGTTTATGTTGCTGGAGTAGGAACAAGTCAGAAAAGGAGGTAAGAATGTTTGCACGACTCAAATATAATCAATGTCACTCAATTGTACCCATAGAAATTGTTGAATTACTGTATGTTCTGCTGTGTGTATTTTCAATAAGAACAAAGTTATATAAAATAATACTGAGCAAGAAACTTCTGTTTTTGTTTTTTTTATCATTAAAAAGTTTTCATTTATTTTACAATAGATATACTTCCCCCCCTTGGGCTCTTCCATTTAATACGTGGTTATACCCACCACCACTCAAATACAGAGCAAGGATTCGTGTTCTGAGAAGAAACGGAAATACAGGGTCAGAAGAGGGGACGGATGACTTGAAACAGACTTTCAAATTCAAACTCCCCAAAAGTTCCCATAGTCCCCTCCCTCTTTTCTCTCCCCACCAGAACTTCATATTTGTCAGGCAAATGACTCATTGATTCAAGGAATTTTGTATTTCAGAAAGCATATTATTCAAATCCAAATTTTCAAACTATTGCCAGATTGCTTCAGATAAGACACAGAGTGAAATGGCAAAGGGAGAAGAATTTTAGGAAAGAAGAAACCTGTCTGGAAAGAGAAACTAGGAAGAGAGAAACAATTCATCCGTGGGTGAAATTTCATGCAATAAAATTGACATGACATCTTAAGAGTTTTTGGAGTTGAATTTATTTGGATGAAAGAGAGTATAGGGATTGGCTTGAAATCAAGAGCAAAGGCTGCCCAAGGAGCTTAGTCACAGCTGGGTTACTTGTTTGCAAACAATGGCATAATAATTGGAGTACTTATTTAGGTGAGGCTTCTCATTTACATTCCTGGGAAACTGCACTTCAAGGGCCACACTAGCTCCCTTTTCTACTAGAGCCAAGGATCCAACCAACCACTAGTTGGCACCAAGTCAATCCCATGTGTGTTAGAGAAGAACTGTGCTCCATAGAACTTTCAGTGCCTGATTTTTTTTAAATAGATCACCAAACCTTTCTTCCAAGACACCTCTGGGTAGACTAGAACCTGCAAATTTTGGTTAGCAGCCAAGCACATTAATAGCTTGCATCACCCAAAGTCTAGAGCAAAGGGTAACAGCCTCCATAACCTTGATCAGGTTGCCCTGCAACTCACTCATATTTGTTTCCCATTCTTCCATGTCTCCATGTTGTTGTTGTTTTGCTATGTACCGTTGAGTCAGACCTGACACATAGCGACCCCTCCTTGGGTTTCCGAGGCAGTATCAGTACGGAAGTAGGATTGCCCAACCTTCCTTCCGAGGAGTGGCTGGTGGGTTTGAACCGCCAGCCTTCTGGTTAGCAGTCAAGTGCTTTTAGCCACTATGCTACCAGAGCTCCTCCTGTCTCCATAGGGCCTCCATTATGAAATTTTAAACTCTTGACCGTTAGGACTTTAAAATTTGCAACCTCTTTGTCACTCAGGTCCCTTCCGTTGTCATACTGCCATTTTTCTCTCCCTGTTTAGTTCCCCCCCTCCAAAAAAATTAGTAATTTCAAGATGGTAACCAAAGAACATTGAACTAAACTAAGCATGGGGCCCTTCTGAGTGTGGGGCCCTGTGTGACTGCCCAGGTCACCCACCCACAAAGCCTGCCTAGAGATAGGCTTCGTATCTCTCTTAGAAATGAAAAAAAAAAACAAAACCCATTTGAGAACTGTCTCTTGTTTCTGTCAGATAAGAAGAAGCTGCTTCATGGAGGCTGTGATAAATGCCATTTTTACAGGAGTGTGTGGAAGAAAATGAGTAGTATGCCAGATGATTCATTAAAGTATCTGGATCTTGTCCCAGCCAGGGGTCAGGACTGTGAAGGTCAGAACGTGGAGCCAGCACCAACCCTGAATCACAGCCAAGGTAGAAGTAAAAAGTCATTATTGATACGCTTTCAGCGCCCCATATAATTAATCCTGTACTCATTAAAACAGACATTTGGGGTTTGGTCAGATTCTGGGCTGGAGGTTGGGAGAGAGTACATAGGCTTAGTCCTTGCCTACAAGAAATTCATAAAATAACGAGGGAGACAAAGACGGGCAGATGGAGTCATTAGTGGTGAATAGTGTGGCTGACAAAGAAACAACAGTATTCTGATTAATAGTGTTACTAATGTGATACTCTATGTGGCTTATTAATGTTTAAAGATTTGGAATGCAATCAGGTACATCTGTATTGTTCAGGGTCCAGTCAGGAAAATATAAATCATTCTAGACATTTCAAACAGAAGGGATGTAATATAAGAAAACATTGATCACAGATGAGAAGACAGACATGGGGCAGTGAGACAACTCAAAGATTAAAAAAAGTAGGAAGGATGCTACCACCATTTGCCTGGCTGGAACTGAGACCATGGAGGGAAGGACTGTAATAGAGGTACTGTCACACACCGCTGTTGTTGGAATTGCCTCCCAAAGCAGAGATAGAAGAGGAGAAATACCATGGACTGCTAACCAGAAGGCTGGCTGTTCAAACCCACCAGCCACTCCTCGGAAGGAAGACTAGGCAATCTACTTCCGTAGAGATACCGCCTCGGAAACCCAAGGAAGGGTTGCTATGAGTCAGAACTGACTCAACACAGTGAATTTGGTTTTTTTTTGTTTGTTTGTTTTTTCACTTACTCCTACCCTCAAGTCTTCTGCCAGCTCTTCTCATTGGCTGAACTCTCAGAAACCAGCTGGTCAGGGAGCCTGGGAGACATACTTTCCCGCCATAAATAAAAGGGAGAGAGATGGAAGAGAGGGGAAGGGATTTGAGAGCAAACAGGCATGTGACATAGACAACATCTAACCCTAAAGTGATATCAAACATAATTTATCTCCTTTGATGATCTAGAAAGGCAGAATCTTGCAATGCCTTAGGCCATGAAGCAGGGAGACCAGCTACTGGGTTCTTTCTCCATTTGTAGAAATTTGTACTAGAAAGACAAAGACATGAGTTTGCCCGTGATTGGATCTTTGGGCGAATCATATAATCTCTCTGAAATTTGAAAAATGAGAATGATAAACCTACCTTTATGGTTGTTAGGAGAATGAGAGAATAAGA